ATGGTAGTAGCTTTGTTGAACGCGTCTCGTTTGTAGCTTTCAAACGAGTGCAAACACTTAGTAATTAACGAAAGTAATGATCTATATATACACATTTAATTCAAATAAATCTTTGTACATATTGTTAAAAAATGTTCATTTTATATATTTTTAAAATTGTCTTACGCAAAAACTATAGCACGCACAGACATGCGGTAAACTGCGTTAGGCGCGCTTTTTCAGCAGCTACAAAATGAGTCAAGAAAACGGAAAAGCCAAAATTTCAGATTTTTAGGGTAGACGGTTCCCTTAGCGCAACGACCAGCAGCAGATCCAATATAGCAAAAACTGACATCAATCCGATGATGGAAAATAAGGAAACTGCCCCACAACGAGAACAAGATAAAAAACATCAGTAGCAGCACAAGGCTCCATCATAAAAAGATGTCATGCCTTTTTTTGTGTCTGTGTCTTGTATGCCTTTTTTATCCATTAGATCGATTTTCATCATAAATTGAGATGAGTGGAAAGACGGACATAATTACTTCAGGAAATATACGTTTTTATCTGTTCTATGGAGTTATTTATTTTTGATGCTATTGCGTTGATTCTTTGTTTTGAATGGTCATTTTGTATTCAACACTATTCATATGTCTATTTCGTTACTTATTAATCAATCAAAAATTTATTTTAATCACAGATAATTTTCATTATTATTATTATCATTCGAATCGATAGGAATGTTTTTATTTTTCATAGTTATATCAATGATATTATAACATTTAGTTAATTTTGTATGCTTGTGACCAGTGGAAAATTTAGTTGCCGCGAGAACTTATAACTGTTCAAGGGCCTTCTGCTCTTGTTGTATGTATATACCAAGTAAAATTAAATCGAGAAAGACTGCGGCAATTTAGTTCGTATTAGTACTTAGTGAGTCTAATTTTTTAGTAGTAGTAGCAGTATAGTTTTCTTCAATACAAAAACATTCATACTCCTTGTTTTAATATCCTCAACTTAAAAAAAAACGTATTACTTCTTCTATTAATAGACTGTTGGATGCTGCGATGAAGTAGCAGAACGTGCAAGTTTAAGGAACTCCAGAACGCGTCGTCAAGAATTCTTGATGGCTTGTTAGACACCCATATCCCCGTTTCCTGATCAGGAGCTATACACATAGAATAGAATAGAAGTGTCGGCACTGAAGAAATAGGTTCATGGCCTGTTGCCGATTCTTGTACTTTTCGTGACTTGATTCACAAGGGATCCGGCCTTTGTAACCCGATCTTTCCATAACTGACGATTGATTGAGATAGCTGCTGGACTTATTGCCTAATCCGTAATTTGCTAGGCATTTTATGACTGAACATATGCTCCTGCATAGCTTCGTCTTGTCTGTTTTTGAAGAGGTGACATAGATTCAGATAGAAAGGTCGCTACACCTGGCTGATGTATTGCTTGTTATTTATCATAAATATCAGTTTTAATAATAAGTTTGTCGTCGTTCGGTTTTTCTTCAAAATTTGACTCGATTCTAAGATGCAGCTTATACCACATGCTTGAGAGTGACATACGAGTTGGTTACATAACATAGTGATGTCGGCGCTAAAGAGTGGCCTGTCGCCGAATTTTGAACTTTTCGTGACTTGTTCATAGAAGATCTAAAATCTTGTCATTTGACCGGATATTGTCAAGACTGACGATAGTTTGAAATAGCTACTAGACTCCCACTGGGTTCGATAGGTTACTGCATGGTTGCGATATGTTACTGTGGAAAATTTTTGCGTCGATCAAGACCAGCGAGATAAATGCGTTTTTTAGTCGGAGCGTTACGTTGTAAAGTGTTTTGTGTTGCACTTGCATGTTTGCGTCACTACAATAGCATTGAGACATAAATCTCACCTGTGCATTACTCTGACTTTAGACTAGAGTGAATTTATTGCACGTTACAAAGAATCTCAGGGCAACCTTAAAGGCCATTATCGGTAGGAAGGACAAATGAATGAATAATATTTAATTTTCTTTACGAAGAATAACTAACATTGGAATTAACAACAATTTAGGAAGTATATGAGCGGGTAACTTGCTCAAGTTTAGACACCTGAAGGCGTCTCAAGGAAACTTTCAATCGACTAAATTAGAAACGAAAGATGACGGTGAATACTAGACTGAATCACATCGTTGACAGTTGATACTAAACTAAACAGGCTACGGTCCTAGTCGGCTTCTCCCGAGTTCGCAGACCAACATACGGTATGGAAGCACGCGTTCTTGCCCACTCAACTTAAAGCAAGATTAAGATTCCCGAGGTTGAAGTGTCCCCTGACGGTGACGTGGCGAAGCAACCATCGATTGAACCAGGCACGTCGTGCTGCTCATCTCTAGTAACAACTAGTACAATGCAATGGCACCGGAGGTTAATTAACTGGTCTGTGAAACCTCGCAAGCCCACCGGCCCAAACCGCAGTACAGCAAAGCAACGCTGACTGGAAACGAAGAGCGTATAAGATGCTTGCGTCATCGATCAGGGCTCGACAGGCAGTGAACTAAGCTTCCAGGCTTCCAGCTCGCTTGACCCAACGTGGTCAATTTTAGCGGAAAAATCTAATATTTAGCGAGCTTTCCCTCACAGTTTGCAATTGTCAAATACCCGTGTACATTGGTTATTAACTAGCACGTGGCTATTTAGACGGAGCTCATAGCATAATTTTTCTCGGCTTGTAATTGAATAGCTTCTACTCGTAGTGTGTGTTTTGCCATAGCATTGGCCAATATTCCTACTCGGGTATCGCTGTTGAGATAATCTAGCTCAGGTGACTAGTATTGTTGACATTTTTAAGTAGGTACATTCCTAATTAAAAATAACTATATTTTTCAAATCAATAGAGTTTAACGTGGCCAATGAAGTTTCAACTGAGTAATTCATGTTTTTGATAAGCCTGACGTAAAAACCCAAGACATATGAACGGATTTTCTTCGTGGTTGTTAGCAAAGACACTAATCGCACTAATGAAATAATCACACTAATGAAATAATCAATTCACACTAATAAAATAATCGCATAATACGTAGTGGGCTAGTTCTAGTCTTCTCTGTGACTTGTGCTAATGAACGATAAAACTAAACCTCGGCAGAATTGATCGCCGGAGAGCGACACTTCTTGGCACAGTTGACACTTCACTTGTTCCGCCGCAGTCCCTCGCTGCTTCTTCAGCTGTGATGTCAAGCGAGAAAGTGGGCAACGGAAACTAATCTAATGCATTTTTTGCTCTCCTTTTGCCATTCATTCTAAATATTCGCGATTGATTCATAAGCATTTTTTAATTTTTTTTCTTCATAGCAATTTATTTGCGACCAGATAGAATATCGTCGTTTGGTTCAATTGTAAACGTAGAATATTTAGTCATCGCGCATTATCTTCCTGATCATTTTCTGAGAATTCAGTTTATGCGCTCATATGAAGTACCATTCTCTCATAAGAAAAACCGTGACTTCAACTGAGAAAAATTTCTGAAGAAATGCGAAGGTTAAGTGATCTATGGTCATTAAATGAATATAATGTAAATATTTCTAATATAATTTTTCGGTCTCCGATTGTCCGCCTTCAGGCAAAATATTGGTTTGACACTTTAGGATAGCAAAAGAGTTTCGATATTTTGCTTCCATTAACCATTAATATTATAGATCCTAACTTAATATGTGAACCTATATGTAAACAAGTCATTCACAGAGCTGGAAAAGTTAACTTGTATTTCCAAACTTAGCGGTAATACTAAAGATATAACTAATAGTTGTTGACAATAAAGACTTCAAAATACTTGAAGAAAAACACACTAAGAAAGCCCGATATTTGTTTAACGGTAGCACTGCTCTTACGGATCCCAGCTTGTTGACAAAACAGAGCCCCGAGCTCAGGCCACCTTGAGCGAAACTTTTAAAAATATCCTATGCTCAAAATATTCAGAAAAAATGAAGGCTTTGGGATGACTTGTTCACATTGCTTCAAGCGGAATTAATTACGGGCGAATTTTGTTGTTCTTTTCAATCGCTATAAATAAGATAAGGAAAATAACAAGGTTATTCATTTTATATCATATATGGCTGTATAAAAATAGATATGGGTTCACAGTAAATCTTAAAAAAACAATATTCAGTGAACTATTTAAACATATTTATTTACCTTAAGGTCACTAACTGTGATAATTCCATTAACCTAATTTACGTACAAATAGTAGAAAATGTATGTATGCCAGTTACTATGTTGATACGACCTTTATTCCTTTATTAGATTCATATGATTCCACGAAATTAAATTCGTCGAAATTCGACAAATTTAAATCAATAATGAAGGGATTTTTCGCATCTTTGCGTATTCTATTTTGTCTTTTCTACGAATGAAATCAAATTTCTCTAATATAAAGTTGATGATTTAAAAATATTATGATTTGTTACTCATTGTTAAAAAATGAAATAAATACGTAAAACAAAACCTTAACACTGAAAATTTTGCTAACGACCTTAATGCAGCATAAATTAATCATTTATTAACTCAGGAACTGCTGTAAACTTCGAGCGAGCATAACATATCCTTTTTGACGAGCCCAAACTAAAGGGGTTCTGCCTTGGTGGTCCTTGACGCAAGCGCTGGCTCCACTCTTCAGTAAGAGGTTTGCGGTGGTTTGATGCCCTTTAGCAGCTGCGCGATGTAGTGGTGTTACTCCAGATTGAGTTGTGGCGTTTAGATCTGCTCCTGCTTCTATGAGGATGGAAACAACTTCATCGTGTCCATCTTGGACTGCAGTATGAAGAGGAGTGTTGCCCACCATGTCTCTTGCATTGATATTTGCCCCGGCCTTCAATAACTCTGTTACAATGTCGGTGAGTCCCAAGTGTGCAGCTCTGTGTAGCACTGTGGAGTGACCTGGCCAGTGAAGAGTGAGAGGCACAATTGTATCAGGGTGAGCTTTACGTAGCAACGCCTGCTGGATTCCCTGTAAAGACCCGTTCTCTACTGCGTTAATAAGTAGTAACGGACTTGGCACTTCTTTAACTGGACCTATTTCAGCGGCCGACGGATCTAACGCATTCTCCGGGTACCCCAACTGCCGAGCTAGATCTCTAGGTGTGTCACCAATTCGGTCGCGAGACAGCGGATCGGCATTCATCCTGACCAGAGTTTGGATGACTCCTAAACTCCCGTAGCTTAAGGCCATGTGGAGAGGAGTAATGTTGTAATTATTGCATGCATCGACATCGCACCCATGGGCCGCTAACATGAATGCAATTTCGTTGTTCCCAGATATGGCAGCTAAATGAAGAGCTGTGTCTCCTAGTTCATTTCTCATTTCGGTTTCGGCTCCTCCCCACAACAAAAGCTGAACAACGTACGGGAAGCCCAACTGAACAGCTTGGTGGAGAACTGTGCCTATGCTGCAGCTGGTGTCAGGATCCGCTCCCTCGTACAACATCTGCTGAATGTCATCCACTTGGTTCATTTGGACAGCTTTCAGTAAATTACGATTGTACACTTTCTTTTTTTCTGGTATCTTTCGTTTAACTTTCACCGGCTTAGGAGGCTCCAACACAAGCTCAGGCTCTGGCTCAGGCGCCGGTTCTGGCTCCGGCTCAGGTTCGGGTTCAGGCTCTGGTATAGGCTCTGGATTGGGCTGAAGATCATGCACGGGTTCAGGACTGTGTTCTTTTACTTCAAACTCAGGCTGAATTTCAACCTCCGATTCTGTCACCCACATATCATCAGTGTAAGGTGATGTAAGTATTAGGACGGTATTTTCCACGAGGGCGCATTCATTTGGTTCATCAACATCTACAATTTTTTCAACACAAGTTGCTGGAACAATCGGCTCGAATTTGTCGAGTTCCTGAACATTTTCTTCGATTGAACATTGAACCCCTATGTTTTCTGCTGCATTTTGTATTGGAATGCGTGTACCTGGAAATAACAACTTGTATAATTTTGCTTCATTGCTGTAGGGCGAAAGCATGACGCACTCTTCTTCTAGGAAATAATAATCGGCAAGTTCAGACTGGGAACGCGAATTAGAAAATTCTGCAGCAAGTAATTCGTTTATTGAAGTACTCGAAAATGACTCCTCAACAGCAATTGTGTCTCCGTGTGCAGCTCTCTGAAAAATTTCCTCGTATTTTTCCATCTCTGCCAAGTATTCATTTTCCTCCCAGACGTATTCAGCTTCCTGCTGTTCAGAAATGACAGTGGCATGAGATTCCAATTCCGGGAACTCATCGAAGTTGAAATCGGGAGCGTCATGCTTGTCACACAAACTGGTGACCGTCATGCGACCCCTTCTAGCAACGAGTTCCTCCATTTCTCTATCATCAATGAAACTTTCATCCAAATCTTGCTGGAGAGAAATGCTTTTAGACTCCGGACTCATCGTATTTTGTCTTTTCTTATCAGGCTGCGATCTTTCTTCCGAACCTTTCTTTGACCTGGGTACAAATTTAAGCGGTTTCCTGTTAAGCGCGTTGATGTGAGATCGCAATTCATCTGCCGAACTAAGTCGAGGAAGGTTAGAGAAATGATCACGTGAAACCTCGTGTTGCCATTTACCAGCCCGTTTATTGAAGTCAGAATCAGTTAGTACGCCCTTCTTGGCAACGAAGCAGCCTCGTCTAATTAGCTCTGGTTCCGGCGGTTTTTTGCTCCGATTTTCCACATTATGAACAATGTTGTTCACTCCTATTCCTGTCCAACGCGGCCCATGGCTACTACTCCACTTTTTTCTGTTGGCATTCCTCATTAACGTCCCAATGCGATCTTTGACTGCAGAATATGGCTTTTTGCCGGTAGCAAAATCAAGTAAATCTAAAAATTGATGTGTCGAACCTGAGTACGCATGCGTCGGAGATTTAGGAGGAATAAAGGAAGACTCGTCGACGCTTCTCGTCGGCTTGACAGATGTGGGTTTTTTTGCGTGAGGAAGTTCGGGCGTCGTTGAATTGAGTTTTAATTTATTAGTTACGCTATAAGTAGGTTTAGAGCCCTCTGTTGGTGAAGCCCTTCGGATGTCAGGTAATATTTGTTTTGATGACGAGGATGAAAAATTAGTGTTTTTTGAATCACGAATGCATAACTTTTCGCTTTCTATGTTCGAATGAGTTTTAATCTGTACACGATTATTATGAGAAGCGTGATTTAAACAATTTTTGACTGATGATGATCCGTTTTGCACCAAGAAACTGGTAGAAATGTCCTTTTTCTGCACGAAAATTGAGTTGCCTGTTATTTTGTTATAATTCGCAGCTTCAACATTATCAGTGAGAAGGATACCTTCATCATCGACTTCGAACGATGAAATATTCGAATCCTGGGATATGTCACTAGGAGTTTTTACGAGATTCTGATTATGGCAGTCTTGGTATCCATATTGTTCGTACATGTCGCCCGATGACGCTGTTTTGTAAGTGTTTAGAGAGTCCTGGTCGTCGTTCACTGATTGTGAACTGTCTGTTCGTAGGAGTCCGACTTCCGTCAAACCGATCTCGGCCATGTCGACTGTCATTTCGCGCAGTAAAGAAAAAAGAACGTGAAGTCCACAGAAGTAAATCATTAATTTGTGTACAAGACAGCAGATGAACCACAACAAAAGTTTTGGAGTTATGGCATCATCAGTAAAAATATAGTAATCGAAAAAAGAGTATGTTAAGGGAAATTTGAACTCGATTAGTGTGAAGTTTCATTTAGCGTTGGTATTGTTGAAAACAGGCCATGTAAACCAAGACGAGAAGTATCGGTGAGATTTAACGCGATCTCTGAAAAAGAAGAAAAGTCATATTTAAGGCAACACAAATGTTTGTTATAAAGCTAGTTATTAATTAAGCGTTACAGTTATTAAATTATTAATTGCTATAGAAGGATGCGATTAAAGAATGAAAATATTTCTGGAACAGCTACATGATGAAAGGCGAAACAAATTCAAAACATTGATGGAAACTTCTTGCTGGGGACTATGTTTTGACATATAGAAATAATCCAGAAATATTATATCAATTTAAAATTTTTATCGACTAAATTTTTTTGTAAAAGAAAGAAGTAGAATTCTGTCTAGTAATTCAGCGGACCTATTCATACAATATATTTATGTAGCCGCAGCAGTTGCATTTTTATGCGGACTGAGAAGAAGTTTTTTTTGTAAGTCTGCAAAAATTTTGTGTCCTTATTTAAGAACGCATTCCGATACTATTAAATTTCTAGTTATATGTAAACCATGATGCAATAATTGACGGAAACTGATGAATTTTTTTGCGTAAATAATGTATCCTCAATAACAATATTTTCTAAAATTTCGGATGAAATTTAAAATTTTTAAGTGTGGGCCAATCAGGTGCAAAGTCAAAAAATTTTATATTAGTAGGAAAATTAACTCAAAATTTTGAAAGAAGGAACTGTCAGACTTCGTCATATGACATAAAATTCATCTTATGCAATGTCCATTGTCGTTGAGTCGGGGATGGGCATTGGGCGGACACCATATGTGATCAAAATCAAAGTACCGAATAATAATGAACGAACGAAGTAAGAAATTTATGCATGACTCCAAATTTGGGTACCTACAGATTAAAATGCTGCCCACAATACACGATGTATTTATAATTTTTAGTTGCTTAGGAAGGTATTTCTAAGCACAATTTTAGTATTTGTCACAAGAATTTTAGTATTTGTCACATTTTTGTATTTGTCGAATGGGGATGTTTCTCCATATTTTATGTTCTGTAAAGTTAGCGACTTTGACAAGCTTTTATTGCGAAAAAATTATAAATTAAATATTATCATAGATATAAATATAATAATTTGCGTATCTCGCAATATGTATGAATTACTACACGTTATTTGAACCTCACTCCTCTGCTCCACGTGGTACAAATTACAGTTCCATAGGAATTTCTTGCCTAATTCGATCGTAACACCTTATCGCGAAAAATATTCTCTTACACTCACAAACATTAGCCTTTAAGTCAGCAGGCTAAAAAAACAACTGAATGCAGGTTGCTTCAATCAATTATCCACCATAATCAAATTTAGTTAATTAAGTGTATTATTCCTACTGAACTTAATTATTAAAAATTGACTTGATTTTGAATGAATTATAATTTAAATTTCTACATTCCCTGGCCACTTTAATACATAATTTGCACGCGTTGATCGCATGGCAGTCTATGTTATGTCTCCACGCACTAACCGAGAGCTGTGACCACAGCAGCGGCTTGCCGTGCACTGCATTTACGAAGGTCGCTCCAACTGCAGACCACTGCAAGACTTGGCCAACTGCATGCCCCAGCCAACGGAAGCTTATTAATTTTAGATTTTTATTACTTACACTTATTATTTTTGTTTTTATCATTGACAAACGAGTATCGATTAAATTGCCCTTACGTTTTATGGGACAAGTTATAGTTGCAAATTGTATTCGAGACTGAAGGCACTGGCAAGTTCCAAATATTTTTAGGAAATACATTAAATTAAGTTGGACTTTTAAGTGTTTGATTGTGGAAAATACATTTTAAAAATTGTGACATTAGGCTGAGAAATGAAGTAGAATCTAGAAATGTTATCAAACCGGCCTCATCGACGTTGATGAATGAAATTCTAACATTAAATAGGTAACTAATGGGAGTTGTGCTGCTACAATATTTTTTCAAAATCCCAAAATCTGCATAATTACCACTAAAATCTCAATAATATATTGACTCTAACTCACTCAATTTGTTTTAATCATCATCTAATGCAATTAGATAATATACAATCGGCGCATTATTGAATCATAAAACGCTATCATGTATTCATCAATAATCATTTTGTCACACTGTAAAGTCTACAAGAAAATGCATAGCATCAACACTGCCATTTATCAGCTCCAATGTAGTAATATGGCATCGAAAATCTTCCAACAAACACCTCGTTCATTGGAGAGATTCGGTGCCCATTAATCAGTCTGGTTTTCAGATGCTCTTTATTCGTAGATTATTTACCTGTATTTTTTGTGCAGTAAAGAGCACACTGCGCCACAGTTGAACGCCGCGCTACATATCGCACACGTCTGCAGCGCCTGCCACCTGCCTGTTCTCCATCATGGTGTCGCTCGCGAACTCCGTACACTCACGTAAACAAAAAAATAACTACAAAATCTTTCGAGGAAAATGCTTGACGCACAGGACACTCATCTTTCTCATATTACCTTCAAAATATGTTTGATATAAAGGTTATAGCTTTGTGGGTCAAATGGTGGTGAAATTAAGCATATTAATACTGGTAAAATGTATGCTGGTTAAATGATAGATAATGAGATTTAATTTTATTGGCCTTGGCGTACAATACTCTGATAACATACTTTATAACCCATAGATGATTACATGTATTTTTTACGAGTCTGCACACGTCTAGCACATTGAGGTCAGTATAATTTTTACGATCCCAGTCAGGATTCTGTTTTTATGCAAGTAAATACTGTTAATTTATTGAAAAATTGAACACAAATTTTTCCCCGTTAATAGCCACATGCCTTAGACAATTTTTAGCGTAGATTCTCCGAAGCGATTCTTTAGTTTTAAATTAACGCCGCCATGAACGCAATGGGGAGCAAAGCGCAAAAAGTTTCTTCATAAACTTCAGGAAATGATGCGTGGCAAGTCCTCTGATATAAATTTGCTCCCACGTGTGCCGGGTTTTTATTAAACGAATCATTTAATGCAATTCTACGTTGTTCATGAATATGTGCGTTATTTTTTATTTATTTATTGTTAAATAACGAGACTAAGAGTATTTATATTTGACTCAACATTGCTCCACGGGGTGTGCCGGTTTTTTATTAAAGGGTTTATTTAAAATAATTCTATTTTATTCATGAATATGTGCGTTATTTGTTGGCTTATTTATTGTTAGATAACGAGACTAAAAGTGTTTTTATTTGGCTTAACAAGCGTTGTCAACCATTTGTATCAAGTTTTCCTCTTTATCCGCTTTCGGCGAACAAACAAGTCAAGTTCAAAACGTGATAAACAACTTCTTAGTTCAAAACTTCGACCTGCGAACTTCATAGGTCATTGGATAATATATAAGTTCCGGTTGCTATCTCATACTAGAATAAATATTTTTAGTAATAACCTCATTCTGTTGCAAAAAATAATGAATAAAAGCCAGGCCGCAAGCCCCAAAGATATGAAAACGGTTACGTAAATTTCCTATCAATCCAGAATCATCGCTTTTCGGCCCAATTTGGTCCATAAAGACCATTTGATATCAATAAATTTAATGCATTACGAGACTTCAGTAGTTTGTATTTAGACAAATAACTCAGTGTTTAAGCCAGGATCTTTATGGTGATCATTTACAGTGGCTGAGCTGGTAAACCCGTGCATGACTTGCAAGCAAGAGGTGGGCAGTAGCGCGCTACATGTAGCGGTAGCGCCCGCTACATATTTAAGTAGCGATACGAGGTTTTGCCACTATAGCGCTACCGCTACATTTATAGATAAAGCATTTAGATTTTACTTAATAGCATTAAATATTATTTAAAACCCAGCACGATACATGCATAATATAAATTACAGAATAAAACTGTACGAAAGATTTCGGTGTAATGTTGTCAACCTCAGCCTGTTAATTACTAGTGTCAACATGTTAGTTGTTACCAGAGGTGGGCAGTAGCGCACTACTTGTAGCGGCCGCTACATTTTCAGTAGCGGTAGCGGCGCTACATTTAAGCAATTGTAGCGGTAGCGGTAGCGCCCACTAGATTTAGAGCATGTAGCGGTAGCGGCCGCTAAAGTAGCGCTGCCCAGCTCTGCTTGCAAGTCATGTCGAGCCCTGTTGTGCAATTCAAGTCAATCGCTATTATTATTTTCAAGGCAATTCTGATTTTCGGACTTTTATAGCATATTATGAATTAATTTAACTTTTCAATATGCTGAGATAGGTGAAAAATGAAAATACCATAATATTAACATTTATTGTCGTTGTCAGCAATATTTTATAATCAAGTGTCTACTTCTGAATGAATTAGTATTTCTATTGCTATTCATATTCTTTGGCAACATGTTTTTCAGGTAATGCTATAGATAGGCTGTCACTTGTGTGCTAACTTGGGAACACGCAAACTAAATTTGAAGCTGCAGGTACGCGTACGAAAGACAACGTTTGTTGCGGAAATCGATGTCAGCTTCTAAATGAGGAACTTGCTATATTTAGACAATATAATGTTAGAGAAGAAGCACACAGAAGTTTCTTGCATTTCAAGGTTAGAACAAGTTTACAATTAAAGGTATAAATAATTCGATTTTTAATCAATTTATGTGCCAAAGTGATTTTCACGTCAATAGAAAATCCAGATTTTCATTTTTTTTAATAATTCTCAAATTGGCGGTATGATTGTTGGAAACATAGTCGCAAGAACTTACTGTTGAAATACGATTGTTGAATTATGTTCATCTCGTCATCTTCCCATTGCATTATTCGTGAAAGTTCAATCAGTTATGCACACGAAGAGCAGATACACATTGTTAAATATCATTACCATATCCGCCTTTGTGATTCTAGCACACTATTGGTAAATAAATAAATAAATGAGCTTCATCGCAAGCCCCAAAAAACCGTTCGCGCCAAAAGTTAGTGTGTGCTCCGAACAATTACTGAAAGGTAGCAATCATCAGCATTGAATTTAGGAGTTCTCAAAATGAGTTAATAATATGGCGAAATTTCCAAGAAACGATTAACGAAACTCTAGGGATCGTTTAGTCAGATGACGTCTGCAAGCGATGACCACGACGACAAGTTTCGCTTGCCAGAAGTATCATGATTTTTAAGTTGAATGAAACACTATTGTTGGTTTTTAAACGTGATTCATTGACTCAATTTTTGCGTATTAATGGACTAAATTCGCTCCTTTAAATTTTTAGTTAATATGCTTCGTGAAACTTTTTGGAGCAACTCTTTCGTTTAAACCTTGCTTTTGGCACACAATCGCACTGAACTTTTGTACATCTGTATTGTACTCACGTTGTACGTACAGCTAACACGTGTATTTTCAAGCTGCGTTCGCATTAGTTTCAATAATATCAATGCCAATAAAAGATCGGTGACAGGATTACTATACAGCCTGAGTGATTTTTCGTGCTTGCTTTTATATAAAAAAATTCATTTACAGTGAACCATCGCAGTAATCAATAAAAATTTTTTTTTCTTAAAGCAGATACATTAAAACAATTAATAATTAATTAACAATTAAAACAAGATTAAAACAATTAAACCAAAAAATTTTTAAGTTGAGGCATTTAAAATCAAGCAATAGTTCCTTTATGTGTATTATTTTGAATTTAAACAAAAATTTTCATCACAACAAATTAATAAACGCAACTTAACCCTTAGGAAAACTTCGGAAATATTTTTACTTTCATCTGCATGTAGACTTTTCAAAATCTAGAGTCAGTTTTATTTCACCCATGAAAATCATGTATTTAACCGTTCAAAGTGTGATGTACTGCAATTACAAGTTACAACCGCGCGTGCATGCATGACGCACGCTTCAATTAATGAGGTCACCACTGTGGGAAATTTTTCCCACCATTAATAATTTTTGTATCATTTGTAAATTTGTTGTCTATATGTCGTTTTCTGTTCATGTTGCGTTCGCAGTTTTGTTGTATTCAGTTTAGTTACGTAGTTTAAGTAGGTAGCAGTATCCGCTAGGTTAGGGACTCCTTCATAAGCATTCATACCATTCAGACGTTCAATCTGGCTACGTGCCTTAACTCCAACTCAGCTAATTCTCAGTTATTCATTTCTGCACCTACCATCACTTCAGCCAGCACAGCAACAGGACCTTCAGATTCTAATTATCTTCCTGATTACTGTTTCACTATCTAAATTTCAAATTAGCTACGTGGTTTCTGATATTGGTAGAGGGACTAGTTTCCTTTGCTGTGACCCACGATTTAATAACTTTATCTTCAATTTTCCAAAGTCAAAATCTCAAACTGTCCTTTTCTATTTTTCCGTCTGGAGTACCTTCCTTTAACTGATTTCATCTATATTTCTGATTTGCATCTAACTAAACGCATTAAGCACTGAGATGCACCAAAATCTTAGGTTGGTCAATTTAGTTATTTGATGATTATTGATTCATAATTCGGTATAATTTGCTACATAACTAGTTTGTGATAAATTAATTGTTTAGTAAGTAGTTAAATTTTCATTTCAGTATCTGGGACTCGTCGGGGCAACACCGTTGGGG